TTTGTATGTCCTTAAATTATATGTTTTTATCATTTAATTTATAAATTTTTTAATAATTTTCCTCATTTTCTTAACTTAAATATAATATGTATCTACACCTATTTTTACTAATATTTTATATATATATATAACTTATAGAAAATTAATTAAATATTTTTTTAATATTATTTTTACTTAAATTATATTTATACTTCAAATATTATTGTTTGATATTACATTAAAATTAATACATGATATTTATTTTACACATTTTCATAAAATATATATAATTATTATTATTAATATATAAAATTTAAATTTATTATAATTTAACATAATGTTAATATTTTTATAATATTTTTTTTATTAAATAATTTTACAAAAAAAATAAATTTATAAAATAATTAGATTGTAAATAAAAAATAATAAAAAATATAATTTATTTTAAAAATAGTGCGTAAAAAAATTAAGTTTCAAGAAAAATAATATTATTTTTTATAGTTAGTATGAATAAAAAAATAAATATTTCATCTGAAAATTTAATATATTAAAAATAAATAGTTTGTAAATTTTAAAATTATTTTTTAAAATTAAAATGAAATAATAGTGTGTAATATTAATATCTAAAATTATTATTATAAAAAAAATTATCTTCTTTTTGAATAGGTAAAAATAATAAATAAATTATAATAAATTTTAAATAGAGAGTATTAAAATTTAAAATAATTTAACTTAATTATAATCAAGATTTATAATGTAAAAATAATTTTCATTTAAAATAAATATTATAATAAAATAAAAAGTGCGTATTAAAATAAAAAATGTCAAAAAATACAATAAAAATAGAAAGTTAAAAATTATATTAATAATAATATATTTAACTATAAAATATTTTTGAAAATGAAGCAAGTATTTAAATATAAATAACTTTTATATTAAAAAATAAATTTATTTATTTAAAATAGGGAGTAATTTTAATATATTAACTTTTAGATAAAATTTATAAATTTTTTATTAAAAATAGGGCGTAAAAATTTATTTTATTCTTTTTTCTTTTTAATTAAAATTTATTAAATATAGATTTTAATATTGAAAAAAATAGTTATTTATTTAAATAAACAAAATATTTATTATAATTAGCCCGTAATATATTATAAAAATAATTTTAGTTTAAATTATAAGTTTTTTATTTAAAATAGGGAGTTATATTTAAATAACATAGTATATTTTAAATTTTATATTGAAAACAGACTGTAATATTTAAATGAAATGCGTTTAAGTATAAATTTACCAAATATTTTAATAAAAAAGATTGTAATATAAAAAAAATATAATTATTAATTAAACTTTATAAACATAATATTAAAATAGGCAGTAATATTAGAATAAATATAATTTTTTTATAAATCTATCTATTTATCTATATTTAATTAATAAAAAGATGGTAATATTAAACAAATTGCCTTTTAATTATAATAGACAGTAATATTATTCTCAATAACATTTGAATATAAATTTATAATTTTTATAAAACAGGTTGTAATATTAATTAAATAACATTTGAAGTTTATAATTTATCAATTTTTTCTTTTTTAATATAGCCAGTAATAAGAAATAAAATAGAATTTTTAGTTTAAATTAATTATAAATTTTATATAAAAAATAGTTTGTAATATTAAATATTGTAAATTTTAGTTTATATATATCTTTAATTATAAATAGGGGGGTAAAAATAACATTTTTACTTTAAATTTATTAATTTTAATTAAAAATAGAAAGTAATATCAAATAAAATATGATTTATATTTTAACATTATTTTGCTTTTTATTTATATAAATAGTTTGTAATAATAAATAAAATAGCATTAAACTTTAAATTAATAAATATATTCATTAAAAGTAGGTCACTTAGAATTAAACTGCATTTTTAATTTATCAATTTTTTTTAAATAGATAGTAATTTTATATAAAATAAAAATCTAAGTTTTAATTTATCTATACAATAGGATGTAATATTATATAAATAAAAAAATGCATTTTTAGTTAAAACTTTCATTTTTTGTTAAAAATAGTTAGTAAATATAATATTTTTTTAAAAAAAATATATAATTTTTATTTAAAATAGGTATATTAAATAAAATATCAATTCTAGTTAAAATTTCTAAACATTTAAAAAAACAATAGGAAGTATTATTAATAAATACCATATATTTTTATTTAAAACTATTATTTATTAAGAAGGTAAAATTACATAAATAGCATTTTTAGTTAAATTTTTTACTTACAAAAGGATGTAAAATTATTTACATTATCATTTTATTTTCACTTTATATATTTATATTAAAAATAGGTTGAATTATTAAAAAATAGCATTATAGTTAAAATTTATTAATTATTTATTAAAAATAGTTAGTAATATTAATTAAAATAATATTTTTAGTTTATATATTATCTTTATAAATAAATTAGAATGTAATTATATATAAAAAAGCATTTTTAGTTTAAATATATAACTTTTTAAATATTATAGAATGTATTATTAAATAAAATAAAATTTTTATTATAAAAATGTGCCAATTTTTATTAAAAAAGATAGTAATATAAATAAAATATAGTTTTATGATTTAAATATATATTTTTTTTTAAAAAAAAAGTGGGTATTATTAATTTAAAATATATATTAAATTTAAAATAATAAAATTTTAAATAAATACAGAAAGTAATATTATTTTTAGTTCAACTTCTTATTATTTCTAATTATTATAGCTTGTAATATTAAATAAAATACCTTTATATGTTTTAATATATTTATTTTCAAATTAAAAATAGAAAGTAATATATCAAATTAAATTAAATTACATTTATTTTTAAAATTTATTAACTTTGAAATAAAAAATAGTAAGTAATATCAAAAAAAAAGAATTTTTTGTTTAAATTTATCTATTTTATAATGATAAAAGATTGTAATAAATTAAATAAAATAAAAATTTATTTTAATTTTTTTTTTTATTAAAGTTAGTAATATATTAAATTGAATTTAATTCTTAATAAAAAAAGTTTGTAATATTAATTAATTAAAATAGCATTTTTAATTTTAATATCTTTATTTTTATATTAATATGTAGGAAGTAATATATTAATAAAATAGCATTTTTAGTTTAGATTTATCTATCTTTTAATTTTAAATAGGGAGTAATTTATAATATAAATAATTTTTATATTTTATTTATAA